TACCATGAGCACTATGCACCCAGGTACAAAAAATAATTTGCCCTTGCCCAAGGCTTATGTAATTCATCGTGCTACTTAACATACATATGAAGTATAAAAAACTACTACGTAGAAAACATATATTTCGTATGAGAATTAAGGTTGATATGGTATTTAGAAGTCTCCTTCTACCATACACGCTTCGCATAATTTTATATTACTTTGATTACTTTAGGTTTTGTTTAGCTTGTAAGTTTATTTTTGCTCATTCGATCAATTTTCTTAGAACAATACACAAATATAAACTTTAAATTCCCTAGTAAAATACCGCATCATAAATGAATTTTTCGGACCCACAACTAAATAAAGTCTTAATCTCAACTTACAATTATCAAATTTAATAATCAACCACTTTACAAAAAAATTGACTACATTCCCATGTGTTACATATAAAAAATTACTCTGAAGGAAACTTAAAACCCGAAATTTCTATAATTCTACTCATTTCAGGTATAAGTCATAATAATTCCACTTTCAAAACCAAAGATCAAAGTGGTAAATTTTATTTTATTTTATTTATTTATTTATTTATCTTTTTATAGGAAATCAAAGTGGTAAATTAACGTACCACGGCCAAGTACATAGGAACAAGATGATTATTATTAAAGGGTCAAACTAAGTGAAGCGCAGAAATTCATACAAACAGTGAAATCTATTTGTTTTGTACTCTTTTTTAATGATACGACGTTTGATGTGATGTCTATTCATTCATACGACAGTATATACTCACCTATCAATGTTACTGACTACCGGTAACTAACGTACAATGTACTATATCATAGGGATTTCAGGGAGTTACCTTGTATATCTTACAGAAAGTTTATTATTAACCAAGTTGTCAAATCTTAATTAGCTCCATATTTCATCCACCTTTCCTTTCAAAGTTGAATATTAAGCGTAGGGTATAAGGTAAACTCATGCTGCATTCATATTTCAAGCCAAATAGTCTTGTGTCAGGGGATGTTATCAGAGCTAACGTAATCAAAGGTCACGAGTTCAATCGTCATCTACACCCACCTTCAAGTAAAATATTTCGCGTTGGGTACGTGGGGAGCTCATGTCACATCCACACTTCAAGCCAACATGCTCTCATGTGAGGGGTGGTTTAGAGTGTATAAACTAATCCTGACTTCAACCATAAATTTAAGCTTTTAGTTAAATTGGTCTTTTAACACCTAGTGATTGTTTAGCAGGTTGAGAATATTGGACTAGCCACCCTACTTCCAAGAAAGTCTCCAACGACACCTAGAAAACCCTAATGAGGGCTATAAATACTTTGGGACATCTCTAAAGCATGACAGAACGTTCTAAGCTAATGTTCTAAGCATTCTACATTGACAGGCTTATTGGTTATAATGCTACTCATATACTCCCCTCGTTTTTTAATATTTGTAACACTGACTTTAATATTGTTCACATTTAGATTCTTAAAGTTTAATTACTTTTTTTTAAATGTTCTTATGAAAAGTATTGTTAGATTAATCGTAATGTATATTTTTAAATATTATTTTTTGTTAATACTTTTCAGTATATTTTGGTGTAAACTGAAAAGAAAGTCGTAAGGTCAAGTTGTATAGACGAAATTTGATCTCATCTCATGAGTACAATAATTATTCAAAACTTTAACCAGCTTCGTACTTGCCAAATCAATATAAAATATATTTAAAATTAAAAACACGTGTATAAGTCAAACGGTTGTTACGAGTAATCATGAACAGTTGGAGTAATTTTTTTGTAAAACTTTAATTGCGTTGTTTTGACTACGTGGTTAGTCAAAAATTAGCGCAAATTGGTATGTAACGGGGTGGACAATCAAAGAGGAACGCGATAAGATGAAAAATAGAGGAATCAATCAGGTGACGAGTATTTAAATGTGGGTGTGGGTCCCACCTTCAACTTGCTGTTGGTGTACAGACATCAGACTTGCTTAATGTGGGCTCCACCTGCGCTCTCATCAGCCGTCCCAAAGGGCCCCACCTCCGCCCCCCTCTCAACATCCATCTCTATATGGTTTATGGTAGGACTACATTTATTCGTCAAACTTAATTTTGTCATTGACTCATCATTTTTATTTTATCACTTCTATTTTATTTAATTAACCATTTATGTTGTCGCTTATTATTTATTTTCATTCAACTACTAGAATATTACAAAACAAATTATCATTCTTATATTCTTATAACAAAATCTTAGGTGGGAGCGAGTGGGAGTCGTAAGATGAGGAGATTAACGACCAACGGTGTTAAAAGAGAATTCAAATTTCTATCTGAAATAAATCTGTAAATATATCTCCTCTTATAATATATATATATATATTCATTTATTTATTTATTTTAAAGTAATAAAAGTAAAATATTAAAGTGGTACAAAAATAAATGCGTAAAATTGTGAGAGTAGATAAACTGAAATGTTAATCTTAGAGATTAACCAGGACTTCCTCAATGTTAAATACATACATATTCATTTATCATACACTATAATTTTCTTAAAAAATGTTATCCAAAATGACTTTAAGACTTTATAAACATAACATATTGACTTACAAAAGTAATAGAATCAACTTAGAACTTAACCAACATATGTAACAATTTATTGTATATTAATGAATGATAGATGATGATAATGATTGAGAAAATGCTTAACATATGTAAAACTTATGTGTATCATCATCACACAAGTACCATTGATAGCTTGCTTCAAAATAAACTTAGATGGAGCTCCTAACCCTATCAAGTCATCTTACAAATCTCACCATACACCCATGCATATTAATTATGGATCTTTATGTACAAAAGAACTAATAAGATGCGATTTTTTAAGTTCACAAGTAACCTAGCTATGAGGATCATGAAGAACTATAATTCTAAACTCATCACCAAGCTTAGATTTTAATTAAATTCAAGATCACGATGTCTCGATTACATATTTTTTTACTATGTTACACCTATAAGTCCTCGCTGTTATACTTTCATGTTTGGTTTAGCAAAACTACTTACTACGTGTACATATTTCACAACCAATTGACGATGATATATGTTCATTAATTTGGAGCATTATAATCTATGTTTTAGAGTATATGTTCTTTTGAGAGAAGGATAATGTATATCACGCTTTTACATGTAGGATCTAATTTATGTTGATAACTCTATAAGCAAATATTTGAACTACTTCGTATTACTTTAGGATATAAACAACGATTGACTAAGATATTGACAATTTGTTTTTCATATTCTTTTAGTTATGTAACATACCCAATATCTTAATATAAAGAATAAGCTATAGATGATATATTGTTCAATATTTCAAAGTAAAGATCCAAGTTTCGTCTTAAACAAAGTTACGATTTTTCAAACTACTTTATCCATGACTAAAGAACAGACAAGGTCAAGCATGCAAATTTATGGAAGTAACTAAATTTGACGACAATATATTCAAAGAGAAAGTAGATTTGGGATTAAGTAACTCTAAATCGAATAATTTTTTGCTAAAGTATATACAATATTCACACTTACACTTAACACTAGCTTAATTAGCCCTATAATTAAAAGGTATCTAAAAATCAGGTTATTACCATCTATTTTGAGATCGTTTAATTAGAAACGAGTGCACGATTAATTTTATAGACACTCTTATGCCCTATTAAGTCTCACCCAATAATAGCTTCTCTTAGGCAAAACTTGTGGTAACGTGTTGCTTTTAGTTATTGGGTACGGAGTAACAAGTAGGTATCAACTAGTATCAGGTAAAGGCCAGTTGTCAAATAGTTGATGAATGATAGTATCAAATTAGTGTTCGCAAAATCGGAACTATAATAAGCTACAATAAAAGCTATTTATCTAAAATATATATTGACAATTGCTACTCGCTATATATGAATGCTAATATATACAAGTATAACGACGTTGTCATACGTTATCCAAGCGCTTTCTCTATTAGTATCTACTACCTTGCCAAACGTTCCTATTTTTTCCGACTAGTGTTTTTGTCCTAGGCAAAAAAAGGCCTTAAAGAAAAAAAGCTACCTCCAAACAAGGCCTTGAAGAATTTTTTTTCACAGATGTCATGACATCTACCAGTACCCAACCACATAGAGTATCCAGTTCGGAATTTTAAATTTTTATGATAAATTCCTTATTAACTCAAGTCTAGGACGATACTTCTTATTAGATAGGTGCTTATTAGCTTAATTAGTTTCCTAGAGATGGTAATGATGAATCTAAAATGAACGTGTTAGGAAGCTTTATTTGCTTAATTAAGTGTCCTTGGGTTAAATAATGGGCACACATTGAATTATTAACCTAAAAACGTTGTTTCAAATTAAAAATATCTTACTTTAATGGATGTATAACTTACACTGATTAGACTCTTGCATGATTGGTGAAAGATATTTTAGTACATACCTGGCCTCGGCCAAATATATATCAATAGGGTCATTGATGAAGAATATATGATCAAATTTATTAGGTTGAGTCGATTGAGTCTGATAACGGCCATAAGTCATATAAATACAGTTTCTTTTAGGAAAATTATAGATGATCAATAAGTGTATAAATTTTCAATAGAGTTAGTAAGGGTAAAGCCTACTTATTTAGGCTACAATCGCAATCTCAATAGAGAATACTGCCCTATTGGCCACTTTGGGATACAACTAATTATCATGTAACCTTTCTTCAAAAAAAGTTATCATTTAAACCATGTAATCATTACACTCATTGATTATATATCAATTTAGGGATCCTACACTCTTATTTCCTACTCAACATCTCCAAAACCCTTTTATATCAATCATCTCATTAACAATTAATGCTAGTCATGTACTTGTGAGTAAGCATAATTCCAAAACTCGACTTGCACAAGTAGGTGCATATTATATGCGTGCCGTTTCAGTCGCCAACACTATTAACAATACTTTGTATATATACAAACGGAACCAACGAACACTGAAATATAATTTTCAAAATGTAAAATGATGCTAATTAAGACTATAAATAAGTTGTAATTTCAAGCCATCAATTTATTTGTAAAATGGAAAAAAAGAAAGTCAAACAATCTAACAAAAGAAGAAAAAATCTAGTAAAATGAACAAAATCAAAAAGAGGCAAATAAAACCTACAAGAGGAGGATATAGTTGAATGATGGTTTAGAAACTATTGGCCTATACACTCTCATGATACAACTGACATAGACAGCAATATTATTAGAGAAGAAAAGAGGGAGGCGCAAGACTTGAAATTAAATGGACCCCATTTATTCTTTACCCTTTTTTTTTATTATTTTTTTTTATTTATTTTTTTATATTTACCAAAAACCCAACCTCCCCATCATATCATTAACTCATTTCTCTCTTCCTCCTCTCTTCATCTAACCCTAACCACCTCTCTCCCAAAAACACCCATACTCCCTTCATCCTTCCATTTCTCTTCTCAAATCTTCATCTTCTCTAGCCAATCCATTCGGTTCCGTTTCGGATCGATTATTGTATATTATTGCTCCTTTCAGACTTGAGTACCTAGCTACAATTTTCAACTTCAAATACTATGGTGAGTTTATTATAATCTTCTTCTTCAATTCTTCTATGCTTCAATAGAATAAAAAAAAAAAAACACCTTCGAAAGCTGTAACAAAGCACCAAAGTTTAGCTAGCTAAGCCAGCAAAAAGTTAGATAAACCCAAAAAAAGTTTGTCAAAAAAGTCTTCTTCTTAGCTTATATTGCTTTGATTGATATACTCATATATATTACATACTATACATCCAACCCATCCGTTGTACTTCCACTAATTTAAACTTCCTTTCCGCTCCATTTCTTAACCTTTATACCTCCACTATGTTTGCTAATCACCCACTAATTATACTTGTCAAGATTATTTCTTGCCTTGTTTAATTTCTTAATTATATTAATTATTACTTTCTACAAAGTACTGTATTTCCTTTATTTTCAGTTCTTAACAAGTTGATCTAGCTAGGTAGGCTTGAGTAATAGTTGGATGAATATGGACCCGATTTCGGCATCGGCACATGGGCACTCACTTCCACCTCCTTTCCATCTCCACCCCCACCAATTCCACCAACTCCAACCTCAGAACAACTCCGAATCTGAACTCTCCCCCCGCCTCGGCGGGGTTGGTAAACGAGAGCGAGACGATGATACTACGAGCACCACCGATAATACCGGCACCGACAACCAAGATTCCAAAGATGGAGGTGGAGATCATCATAATATGATGACGAGGCGGCCGAGGGGAAGACCTGCTGGGTCTAAGAACAAGCCTAAGCCGCCTATCATCATTACTCGAGATAGCGCTAACGCGCTCCGAACTCATGTTATGGAGGTGTCCGATGGTTGTGACATAATGGAAAGTGTTGCTACCTTTGCTCGCCTTCGACAGCGAGGTGTATGTATTCTTAGTGGAACTGGGACAGTTGCTAATGTGACTATACGCCAGCCGGGTTCGACCTCTAGTGGCAACGGCGGTCCTCCCGCCGTTGTCACGCTCCACGGGAGGTTCGAGATCTTATCATTGGCAGGGTCGTTTCTTCCACCTCCTGCTCCGCCCGCTGCTACGGGGCTTAGCATATACTTAGCGGGCGGGCAGGGACAAGTTGTGGGTGGTAGTGTGGTGGGGCAATTGTTGGCTTCTGGTCCTGTTGTTATTATGGCTGCTTCTTTTAGCAATGCTGCTTATGAAAGATTGCCCTTAGAAGAAGACCAAGAAGGCGGTGGGCCTATGGGAGGAATGCAAGGTGGTGGAGGTCAACTTGGCGGCGGTGGTGGTGGTATGGATCATCAAGGGATGCCGCCGTCAGCTCAGCAGTTGCTTGGAAACGATCCAAACGGAGGGGCCGGGTTGTTCCAAGGGATGCCGCCTAATCTGCTTAACTCCGTCCAAATGCCTCCGGAGGGGTATTGGGGCTCTGGCCGACCTCCATTTTAAATATTCCCTGCAGCTGGAAATATTTATCTGTAATTTGAACCGCAAATGTGACAACTAATTGTGGATGGGGGTGCTGGTCACGTGATGAACGCAATGCAAGGACGGTGCAATACAATGAATGAATCACCAAGAAAAGAAAGGTCAGTCAAGTATTTCGCTTGGAGAAAACTCTTTGGTTAATTGTTGGTAGTGCAAGCTAAGTAGCTATCAAGAGGTTCATTTTAGGAATTTTTCTTTTTTTTACTTTTCAAATTTTACTTACATTGTAGGTAGAAGATGAGTGCTGATCGATGAGAAAAAACTGTTAATTGCCATGTGTTTTTAATTTTATTTTTGTTTCTTTTTGGGGAGATTTAGGTTTGGTGCACCCATTGCTGCAATTTTTTTCTCCTTACTTTTAAGTTGATGGTAGTTTGTTGGTCATTGAAGTTGGTGTTTAATTATTTTTGTGAGATTGCATGATGCTTTTATTAATTTTGATTGAGGATGATATATCAATGTACATTGTTATTCATTGGAAATTATTCTTGGTCCAAAGCTCATTTACTCACAAATTCCAACCATAATCAACATCCTTTACATATTTGTATTCTTCCTCTAACTTTCCTCTTAACAACCTACTCGTATTTGATCATTGAACATTAATAAAACAAGTTGAGAAAAAACAAATCACATATTTAAACCACACGACACTCCATCATATGAGAGCAAGGATTGTCCGTTGTCCCCAATAATATAATAACACGTACACACCACCAGGCCACCTCCCATCTATATCCGAATTTAGTTGTCATATTACCGACTTCAGAGGGGGGGGGGGAGTAAAAGAAAATAGGTACCAACATTCCTTCTTTCATGCATGAATGTAAATCCATATGGTGGAAGATAAGTAGAAAAATAAGAAAGGGTAAAAGACCTCCGAGAAAAGGGGGTGGAGTGAAAGTGTGCGCAGAGTAGCATTAAAAGCAAACGAAGAAATCAATGGAAGTGAGTGAGGAGTATAGGATGGCTGATAGATTATTCCATTTACGAGAATGAATGAAAATTTAAATTTGAGAAAACATAAAGAAGAGAGAGAAAGCAGTGGCATGCATAAATGGGTTAGTCGACAAGATGGTGAATGAGGATTGTGGGTGCTGAGTTGCACGTGCACTGCCGTTACAGTTAAAACAGATGAGAGCTCCTTTTCGAGGTAGTCAGGCTATGCAACCCCAGTAGTAGAAACACCTCTAAAAGGGCGGATTGGAATTCAAAGAGTATTGCTTGCTTCAATCTTAAGTGATTACCCCACTTTTTAATTTCCATCAATGTTCCTATTCCCCCTATTTCTTGTTTTTGGCTCTATTCCTATACTATAAGCTGTCCAATCTTTTGGATTTCATGTAGGAACATTGCGGAGTTAAACTTTATATTAAGGGCCGGGATAGTCTTATGTGATATTGTTCATCTGTTTTGTATATGTTATTAGGAGATTATAAAGTTAATTTATTTTTCATTTTTTTAAATTTAAATTTAAGGAAAAAAAATTGTCAATTCTATTGTAAGTTATTGTGAGATTGTTTTATAAGTTGAATTGAATTAATAAAAGTAAAATTAATATAAGACACCCTTAATAATCAAATTAGATGCATGGTTTTAATACTAATTATCAATGCTATACCATTTAAGTATTGTAAACACACGTGGTTATGTACGAGAGCATGACATTAAGATCAAAATAATGTAAAATATGTTCTATTATCACATAAAATGTCATGTTCTATCACATATGTACTTGTTATTCATTTTATGTACTTGTGTTCTTTTGGTGCACAATGAACATTAAGTGACATTCTTTTACCCGATGTGGTGCATTTGTGCCAATAGTCTAGGCGTTGATTAACAAAAATAACCTAAAGAAGTTTTATATAGTATATACAACATTATAAGTCATTATTATGCCTTAAACATAGGCAGATAGCATATATTTGTATAAATTACAATTTAGATTTATCTATAGAAAATTAAGTTAAACAAACAGTCATACGAATCATAATTGTCAAGATCGGGATCCTACTTTGGATCGAAAGGGGTGGTAGGATCGAATCGGTAAAATCGGATCGTAGGATCGTAAGATCCTACAAAAACTCATAAAAGGGGTGATTAAAAACTATAATACTACTTGGTACATGTGATTCGGAGTAAAATTGATGCTAAAACCAATAATTTTGAAATATTTAGCCATGTTTAAGACAATGCTACTCAAAAAATAATTTAGATACAAAATTATCTAAAAATCTAGTAAGATCAGATAGGATCTGGTAGGATAGTACGATCCTACGCAATCCTATCCGATCCTCCCATAACTTGGGCTGAAATTCCTCGCCATTTAGTTAATTTGTAGGATCGGGTGGGATCGTACGATCCTACCGATCCTATACGATCCTACTACGATCCCACCTTGATTGCGATTTTGCTAACGATCCGGATCGTTTGGTAAAAGTTGGATCTACGATCCGGATCGCGGTTTTAACAACAATGACATGAATCATTATACGTATAAAGAAATTTAGTCTAATTTCAATACTTTAAGCTAGTAAAATAAAAATAAAAATAAAAGAAAAAATAATAAAGAAAAAGAAAAAAATAAAGAAAAAAAATAAAATAAAGCTAGTAAAATCAAATTTGGATTGGAAGAGTGCAAAGTATGGAGAAAAAATAAATCAAAGGGCTCACATATTTGATGTAAAATTATTAGGACAAAGTCATATACTGGGTATGATCCAAGTTGATTATTCATCATTAATTTGATAATATACGGATTGGTTTTATCACCTTTGGCTTTGATAATATTTGATTAGTTGTGTTTCCATTAACATGAAAATTGATCTTCAACTTTTGATGTGATATATCACATAATTAACCACCAACATATCATTAGTAAAATGGCTATCATCCATAACCAAAATAAGTAGATGACCTATATATATATATTTGATCTTATGTGCATTAAGAACATTTAATTTATTAGCCAAGATATTTTTTTTTTTCCGATGAGCTCTATCACCACGTATCACCATTGAACTCACAGTTTAAGCAGTGCTAATAATAGTTAGGTTCATTGTAAGCAAGGTAACGAACAATATTACAAGCACAAAAACTCAAAAAGTTTACTCGTTAATGGACAATGGTAGTTCTTCGTAATAATCACGGTGAAAATTAAAATCTCATATCAAATCTTAGAGATCATTCTAATAAAACCAATTTGTTAAAATCTCATATCAAATCTCATTTAGAGATCATTCTAATAAAACCAATCTGTAAAAATCTCATATCAAATCTCATTTAGAGATCATTCTAATAAAACCAATCTGTAATACATCGAATAGTTTATGAGACGTTGTAAGTAAGCTCATATCTTTATCTGTTTAAGTGACCGAGAAAACGAACTCACCCGTGTCCGGAGTTATTCCTAAAAAGTAACAGCTCTCCCATCTAGCACTGTTAAATTTCAAACCGAAATCGTTTAACTGTCCAAAATCAATCGACCCAAATGAGAACTGAACCGATTAAAAACCAATTTTTTAAAACCGAAAACTGATCCGAACCGTATTTTAGTAAGCCCGAAACCGAACCAATCTGAATAATGTTAAATCGTATAAGAATCGAACCCGTTAAGGAATCGAACCAATTCTAAACCGAACTCAAATAAAACCGAACCGAAATGAACTAAACCGTTTCTAACCCGAAACCGTTTGAACCGCGATAAAAACCATTTACACCGAACCGTTAACAAACTGTAACGTGTTTGCACCAAACCGTGTACAAACCGAACCATTTATGAACCGAACCATTTATGAACCGAACCGTTTATGAATCAAACCACTTACTATAAAGGGAAGATTATAAATCACGTTAAAATGATTTTATATAAAATCTAATTATGCACACATGTTTACTACAGATGCGGAGTACATTATTGTTTTCACTGACTTTTTTTATGTAATTATGGATTAAGCAAAAATAATCTTTGTCTTCTCATTAAACAACATCATCAAAGTGCTACATATATATTGTACTCAGAATTATATTAGACCAAAGCTGGCCTAATCCAATTCTTATGATGTACTCCTGTTATTGTAATTCTCAAAATTTTAGAATAGATGATTGCATCCTTTGATCTTTCAAAAGAAAATTAAAGTCAATACAAAAATTATAATAAAGAATAGGATATTTTGGTTTTTAGCACCACACAAAAGTATGAAAATGGTTTTTTACACCTCCAAAAAAAAAAGTTTTATTTTAACACAAGATAAAAAATTAAAACTTTGAAATTACCACCATTTAACATAAAGTTTGACGGAAAAGTGAGGTGAGTCCCACAATTTTGTTTTTCCAACAATTTTCACACGACATTCTCTCTGATTTCTTTCTCTCTCCTCTCTTTCTCCTTCATTCTCTCTGATCTCTTTCTCCTTCTTCTTTCTCTCTCCGTCTGTTTTTAGCAATGTCCGACGAATTAAACAGCGAAAAACCAGCAATTCGAAGGCTTGGAATTCGAGGGTAAAGATCCGAGTGTGTTTGTAGATGAAGATTCGGCTATTTTAGGCTGGAATTCGACAATTTTCGCTGCTCAAAGTCCGTCGAATTCGCACCCAGATCCCGGTGACTTTGCAGGCAAAAAACCGGCCAAGTTTCGGCAGTAAAATCCGGTGATTTGGAAAGAAATAAGGGAGTTAGGGTTAGGGTCATTGAACGCCGGTGATTTGGGCAGAAATCCGGTGATTTAGGCATAAGGCATATATCCGGTGATTTAGATGTTCTGATTTTTTTTTTCTTTTCCTTTTTTTTTTTGAATTTTTTTTCTTTGAATTTTTTTTATCTCTGCTATCGCTGCCTTCCTCTCGTGCCTCCAGTTAAGGTTATTGAACGCCGGAAAGTGTCTGGTGGTGGTGGTGGTCCTAATGACTATGAGTACTGGGTATGATTTCTAGGTATGATTTCTCTCTTTCTCGCACTCTAATTTTTATTTTATTTTATTCAATTTTTTAGGCATCAATTTGTTGATTGGCGGTGGTCCTTAAATTTTGTGAAATGCAGAGGTGAAAATTGGAGGAAAAACAAAATTGTGGGACCCATCTCACTTTTCCGTCACACTTTCCGTTAAATGGTGGTAATTTCAAAGTTTTAATTTTTTATCTGGTGATAAAATAAAACTTTTTTTAGGGTGTTAAAAACCATTTTCATGCTTTTGTCTGGAGTTAAAAACCAAAATATCCTAAAGAATATGATTAATTAATTCATCAATTGAAAAATAAACTCCAAATATTCTAGCTTGAAACCAACCGACCCAAATGAGAACCGAATCGATTAAAAACCGATTTTTTGAAATCGAAATCTGTCTCGAATCATATTTTAGTAAACCCGAGACCGAACCGATCCGAATACTGTTAAACCGTATAAGAACCGAACCCGTTAACGAACCGAATTGGAAAAAATTGAACCGAAAAAGAATCAAACCGTTTCTAACCCAAAACCGTTTGAACCGGGATAAAAAC